AGCCTTGCGGGTGGCCAGCGCTGACTTCAGCCCCGATTAGTCCTTTGCCAGCAGGCAGTTTACAGTGTCGTGACCTCGGTGGGCTCTTGTTTCATGTGCGTTGGCTTTTCTCTTCCTTACATTTGTTTTCTCTCTTGAAGACAACCCTTTTTTTCTTTGACGCGACATGTATTATTGGTTCTGCTGGTCACCGTTTGGCTTTTCTTAGGCCACACAGAATTTGTTTTCCTGTGTGCCAAGCTCGATGGGATTTCCACGTCAGGGTGGAGCAGAGCTTCCTCAAAGCTCTTCCAGGTGCTCTGTGGCCCCAGTGCCCCTATGGCTCCTTGACCCCCCACTTCCCGTCTCGCTTCCCAGGCTCATCGCTGAGTTCAAGCGGCTGGGGTCGTCCATCGTCTATGCTAACTTCAACCGCATCATCCTCTGCACGAAGAAGCGCCGCATCGAGGACGCCCTGGCCTACGTGGAGTACATCACCAACAGGTGGGCCGCCTGTCCCCAGGGGGAAGCCCACCCAGCCTCACAGAGGGCCTGCTTAAGACTTGGGACGGAATGACAAGTGCCTGGGTGGGACAGCTCAGGAACACAGTCCCCACAGACAGCAGCCACAGCCTAACAAGGTCGGCAGACATGTTGTCTGGCCATAGAGCCGCCCGAGTGTCCGCCTTGGGAAAAGGAGGGCCAGAAGTGCGGCATGCATAACAATGAAAATGTTTGCTTCTAGAGCAGCTGTTCAGTGGCCTCCTGTGTGGCTTCTCTTGCAGCATCCATTCCAAGGAGCTCTTCCGCTCCCTGACCCTTTCCTTCTCTCGGTGCTGGGACTTTCTTCTCTGGATGGACCCGTCTAACTACGGGGGAGTCAAAGGGAAAGTCCCCTCGAGTGTTCATCGTGGGCAGGTACGAGAGCCTCATGGTGGGGGGCCCTGGTGTGGAATCAAATAGCTTGAGGGCCAGTGTTCACCTTGGCCATCGCATACCATGCACCAGGCGCTGTTCTAGGCCCCTGTAGCCCCACAGCGAGCGCAGCAGGAAAAGACCGTGCACAAACACAGAACACGGGTCCACGGGGCAGAGCTCAGCAAACACGAAATGAGTGACGGTGTCGGGGGGAGGTGGAGAGCCTGCATGCGCACGGCAGGGAAGCCATAGCAGACTCACCTCTGCCGCAGCAGCGAGCATCTCCAGGAGGGGAGGACGAGGAGGAGGAGGAGGAGGACGCCGCCGACGAGGTGGAAGAGAGCTTAGAGGAAGCCAGAGTGGAGGACTTACTAGAAAACAAGTGGAACATTTTACAGTACCTGCCTCAGGCGGCCTCCTGCCAAAGCTACTTCCTCATGATCGTCTCAGGTGAGCTGTGTGGATGCATTGCCCAGGGCTGAGTTGGGTTGCTGTCTGTGATGCAGCCGGCTGCGTGAAGGTGAGCTGTTGGAAATTGCATTTGGTGTGAGTGTGTAAGTTGCATTCCTGAGGCACCCAACATGGCCTCAGGTGTTGGAACTATGGCTCTATGCCATCTCAAGAGCTCTGGGTGAAAGGCCACTCCAGACTGAGCCCTGGAGGCTCTCGGTTCTGCTCCAGATAAGCTCCCCACACAAGAGATTAAGGGGCTGTAGAAGCCACTGTCACCAGCACTCTTGAGGCCTCCCTGCTTTGAGACCCTGCACCTCACTCTCGTGTCTGTTGATCAGCTCTCCAGGGGACGGAGTGCATCAACCAAGCACTGGGTACTAGGGCCAGTGGTTGTGATTCCACTGTCAGCAGACAGACGTGCCCCACACCCTCTGGGAGTAGTGGCGGGTGGTTGGATTTGTGACTGCGCCCTGCCTTTGTCCCTTTGCCCTTGGGCCCGTGTGTCCAAGGAGCATTGTCCCCACACTGTCTCCCCTTGGCCCTGCTGGAGTCTTTCTCCCTCGCTGTCCCTGTGAAGAAGGGACGTGTGTCTCTGCTGGCCCAGGGCCTCTCGAAGGATGACTGGGCATCAGTGTGGGCGCGGGCCTGCACCGTGGGTCCTGTCTGCTTCTCTCAAGACTCGGTGCTCCTTCTACAGACAGCAGTGTCATAGCCCACCCCGGGGTTTCAGCCAGGCTGGGGCCTGCCCCTCGGGTCCTGGCACTCCGCTCCTTCCTCCCGACAGCCTACATCGTGGCTGTGTACCACAGCATGAAGGAGGAGCTGCGGCGCAGTGCCCCGGGGAGCACCCCTGTGAAGAGGAGAGGGGCCAGCCAGTTCTCCCAGGAGACAGAGGCCACGGCCGGGTCTCTGCCTGGTAAGTAACGGGGTCCAGACACTAGCACGTGGGGGTCCAGCCCCTCTCCCGGTATCCCTGTCACTGCTGAGATGAGATGACAACGACGACGACCGCAACGCCCCCTCTCCCCCAGGAATGATCACCTTCTCTCAGGACTACGTGGCAAATGAGCTCACCCAGAACTTCTTCACCATCACGCAGAAGATTCAGAAGAAAGTTACGGGCTCACGGAACTCGACGGAGCCCTCAGAGATGTTCCCGCAGCTCCCAGGTTCTCACCTGGTGCTCAACAACCCGGCCCTGGAGTTCACCAAGTACGTGTGCAAGGTGAGAAGGCGGAGGTGGGTGCGAGCTCTCTGGGATCCAGGGAGCCTCGTGGGTGCCAGGGCTGGGCAGGTGGTGAGGCTGGCGCTGTGGCGCTAGGCCTCCAGTGAGTGGGAGCGCGTCCACCACCCTGTCTGTCCAGATGAGGCCACCATGTGTTTTATTGCGCTTCCCGGTGTTTTTTACCTTTTCCGTGCACCCTGTCGGTGGGATCGAACATTATAGAGCCATGGAGGGGGTGGGGCGGCTCTGGTCTCTTCCACTCAGCAAAGGTTGGTGGTGGTTCACCCGGGTTGAGCTGTGTGGGTGGCTCCCTCCTTTCTGTGCTGAGCAGGCTGCCAGTGTTGGGCTGTGCCATTCACCTGCTGCAGGCCGCCTTCGTTGTTCACCTGGTTGTTGATTATGAATTCAGCCGCCACAGACGTTCCTGTGCAGGTGTCTTTGTGAGCACAGGTTCCCTTTCTGTTGGAAAAAAAACCCAGGAGTGACATTTCTGGGTTGCATCATGCAGTAATAATTTCTTTTGTAAGCATTAATACCAAACTAGTCCAAAGGAATTGGAGATTCAAAATCGAACTCTTGCAAGATGCCAGTCTGCTCCGTACCTCACCCCCCCCCCCCCCATTCCTTCCTGTGTCTGCGTTCTCTGAATCGCTGTGGTGCTGCACAGAACTCATGAAAGTTCAAGGCAATGTCTCACTCGGTGGTAGATGCAATTCAGTCCCAAGGTCAGATAGGGGTATGCCAGATGCTGGGGCAAGAGGATGCAACCCACTCCTGGCTCTTGCCATTGATGAGATCACACTCCCTGCCTCTCAGTGGACTTACCATATATACTCGTGTATAACCTGGGTTTTTCAGCACATTTCTAATACAGTTTTGGGGGTGAAATTGGGTGCCTCAGCTGATATTTGGGTTGTCTTACACTAGAGTATATACAGTATTTTATATGCAGCAGGATGGCATTTCAGGGAACCCTGTTTACAGTTACAGGCGGATCCAATGTGTATCTTCCCCATCTTCTTACTTCACCCATGCTGGTGGTTTGGCAGGAGTTACATGGTGCAATAAAAGGTCACCCGATTGTAATAATCTAGTCTCCACCCCTGGGCTGTATCTTAGGTATGCACATCTGAGTTGAGGCCTCTGGCAAGATGTTTCCGTTAGGCATTGGCTTCTACTAATCTTAACCAGCTAGGCTTTTTCTCAGGCCACTCCAGAAACCGTTTTCTTTCTCTTCTCAGCTGTCGCGTGTCATTCCTTACATCCGTTGTAAGTAATAGGAACTAAGGTGACCCAGCAGAGAGTGTGGTCTGAAATTAGAGTGCATTCTCATCCCATCTCTGCTAGCAGATAAAGTCCTTCCAAATGGTACTACAGCCGTAGGCGTGTGAAATGGAGAATTATTGCATAACACACAAGGGATCATGGCTGGCAGGGCCACATTGAGTATGACTCACACGGTAAGCTGACTCGTTCTGGGAGAGATTGCCGGCTGTCTTCTCAGCAGCAACGCCATTTTGCTTCCCGCCAGCACCATGGGAATGGCGTCCCAGCAGCTCCACGCCCTCGCCGGACCTGCTGTTGGTAGTTTTTTCACTCGAGCGACTCAAATAGGCGTGCGGTGGCATCACATATGTTCAAGCTATACTTCCCCAGTGATACCGGCCTTGGCGTCTGCGTGCTCATCTGGCATTCACACGCCTTCTTTGCTGAAAGGTCTTTTGAGATCTTCTTGTTCAGCAATCCGGCTTGTCTTGGCATTCTGGATACAAGTCCTTTAGGAGCTATGTATCTGACACGTGTTGCCCCCAGTCTTTTCTCCTTTAGTCTGTTAAGAGGAGTCACATGGATTGGTTTTCAGGGGTTGATCTGTCTACGCTTTGGGGAGCAGGCTGGATGGAACAGCTGCGCTTGTCAGAAACTTTCTCTGGCTACGAGTGGTGAGCACCTGAGCTCTGCCGGAGAGCCCAACACTTGCTCCCAATTCAATTGCTCACTCATTTTTAAAAAAATATGAATTGGGTGAAGGCCTATAGAGCAGATCAGACCTCAGTCTTTCATTCAACAATCATACACATTTTGCTTTATCTTGTTGATGGCTTTCCACATAATGTAATAGTGCTCATCCCACTCCTCCCTGTATGTTCTGTCCACATCTCCTTCCCTAGCCCTTCAGGAGTTTTTTCTTGGATAAAGGATGCGCTTGGGGAGGGGTCTCTCTAGTGTTGTTTCTGTCACGGGACTGGCTGTGTGTGGCTGAAAATGGAGCTGCTGGGTGAGTTTATTTCTAGACTGAAAGGTGACTAAGGGCCACGCCGGTGTGCTCATGAACCGCGGCCACTGACTACTTCAAGAACACTTTGCTAGCTCTGTCCTGGGCCTTCTAGATGCCCCTCGATGCTGATTTCTTATTGAGCAGTGCTCTTGTGCTGCTGTTTCTGTGATTGCCCCTGTGTTAGAGTCTAGAATTACCCCACAGGGCTTCGTTGGCCTTGGCACTCACAGAAGCAGATTCCAGGAATGTTTCTTCTGGGCGGTGGCTGCCAGCCACTAACCTTTGGGTTACCAGCTGAGAGCAAACCATTTGTACCACCACCAGAGATCAACTAGTTTCTCCTCCATTCATTCCTCTTGCAATACCTGATCGACACCACTGGAGGGAGCCAGTTTGCACTTTCAGCCTAGGCCTGGAAGTGCTCTCTTGGGGCCACAGACTTTGTCACTGCCTTCCTGTGGGTTGGACTGGTGGCACCTTCCTCCAGCTGTCAGTCTCCTGAGGGGCCTCCAGCCCTCCTTAATGGCCACCTGGCCTCACAACCAATACTAGGGGTTCTGTGTGCCCTTGTAGCCACACCCACTTCCAGGTAGTTTCTCTATCAGTTGCTGCTTCACGAATCACCTGACTCTGGTTACTACAACCAGGCTTTCTCCTCACGGCTCTGGGTTTTAGCGGCTGACAGCTTTTGCTGCTATTTCTGGAGAGGGTTTAGAGTCCGAGTGTGAGCAGGGTTCTGTTACTGTCCTTGTTTGGAAAGGAAATACAGAGAAAGAGTTCTGTAGGGTCTGTCTCCCAGACCCTCTCTCTTGAGTGGCCTGAGTCATTCAGCCGGTGGAAGAGCTGGGTGCATTGTGGGCTGAGAGGCAGGAGCCAAGAGGAACAGGGGAGGATTTTGCAGGGCAGACATCCCAACTGAGAACCTTCAGTGCATCTAGGGGGTTTGGAAGCTGTGAGTTTTAGCTGTGGGCCACCGGGAGCTTCAGGGAGCTGGTGCACTGGGAGGGCAAGGGCAGCAGCCTTGGGGTGTCTCTACGCAGCAGTGGGTGACTGCCTGACATGCTGCCCTGTAGGTGCTGTCCCTGGACACGAACATCACGAACCAGGTCAACAAGCTGCGCCGGGACCTGATGCGCCTGGTGGGTGTCGGGGAGTTTTCGCCAGAGGCACAGTTCCAAGACCCTTGCCGCTCCTACGTGCTCCCAGAGGTCATCTGCCACAGCTGCAACTTCTGCCGGGACCTGGACCTGTGCAAAGACTCTGCCTTCTCCCAGGTGGGTCAGGGGACCCGCCCTATGGCGGGGGGGGGGACAGGTACCACTGTTGCACCTGCACTTCCTGTGACTTGGACTGGGCTGTGAGGCCACCTGTCTCTCCTCTGCCAGGACGGGGCGATCCTCCCTCGGTGGCTCTGCCCCAACTGTGAGGAGCCCTATGACCCCACGGTCATCGAGGCCGCCCTGGTGGAAGCGCTGCAGAAAAAGCTGATGGCCTTCATGCAGCAAGACCTGGTGAGACGCCTGACTGTCGGGCGTGGCGCTGCAGAGCCAGCCCCGGCAAAGAGGGGGGTTTGCATGAAATGTCTGTGCCTCTGTCTAGGCGCCCACAGGACTGAGTGCGTGTGTGTCTGTGTGCATTTGACGCATGGGTAAACATGTCTGAAAACAGGGTGTGTAACTCACTCTGCCCAGTTGAGGGCCTTCTGGGATATGAGGGTCTGGGTGCACACACTCAGCTCTGGCATCCTGACCAGCTCTTGTCTCAGGTCTGCCTGAAGTGCGGCGCTGTGAAGGACACCCACATGCCCATCCACTGCAGCTGTGCCGGCGACTTCGCCCTCACCATCCACACCGCGGTGAGCAGTAGCGCTGCCCCTGCCCCTCAGATCTCAGCCTCTTCCATGTGGCATGCAGTCTTATTGTGGCTGTGTCCACCTACAGGCCTTCTTAGAGCAGATGGGAATCTTCCGGAACATCGCCCAGCACTACGGCATGTCTTACCTCCTGGAGACTTTGGAGTGGGCACTGCGGAAGACCCCTCCCCCATGCTGCTAGCCAATGCCACATGGTCTCAGTGGGCACCCAGGCACGTTGGCTTTCAGGGGTATCTAGGGACCCCACTCCCGCAGAGCAACCTGAGCAAGAGCAGCCTGTCTTTCTCAGAGGGGTGAGGGTAGGCTGGGGCCCGGGGGCAGTTGCCTCTGCAGGAGGTTTTTATCAGTGAAGAGAATGTCACGGTGGTCCTGGGGCAGGTGCCTCCTCACTGAATAGATAATTGTAACGTTTGTTGCTGTCTGCCCCTCTTTGGGGTTTGGGGTGAAGTTGAAAAATGTCATGCCCCCTGGGCCAAGCCCCTTCTACCTCCTGGAAAACTTCCCTGCACCCAAGGCCCAGGTGAGATGGGGGAACCCACTGGCATTGGGGCTTACGTGGTGGGAGGGCCTGTGGTGGGCACATCTGGGCCCCCACTGGTTCTGGAGGCCTGTCCCCTGTTCCTGGGGCAAGAGACGGTCTGGCAGCCCCAGGGAACTGAGGAGGGCGCTGGTGGTGCCAGGGAATGTACCCCATCACACATGGCCCGGTCTGCAACAGGGAGCTCGGGTGGGGGGAATTGGAGCGGGGGTGTCTCACCAGGGACCCCATGGTGTTCAAGGGCCACTTTTGAATGGTTCTCAACGGACTCAACCTGCGTGCTTCACGGTGCTCCCCGGACACCACACGCTCTCCTTGACCAGCTAGGTCTCTGCAGGTGCCCTCCCTCACTCAGCGTACACTGCTCAGCAGGGCAGGGCCCTGCTTCCCGGAACCTCAGGGCCCACATTCCTTCAGACCTGTGCTGGTCCCTGGGAGAGTCAGGCTTCATCCACCTCTGCGACCTTTAGAAAAGGGAATAGAGAGGCTACGGACAGATGTTAGACGCAGATCGTCTTACAGCTGCAGGAGTGACAGTGCCTCATGGGACCTGGGCTGGCCTGGGAACAGCCTGTGAGGGGTGGAGCCTGTTGCTCCCAGGGCTGCCTGAGTGGTTGCCCAGTGACCACTGCTCGACTCTGGGTTTGCACCTGCCCTTTCCTTACATGCTTATTATCTTTTTGGCTGCTGGGGATCTGTGAGCTCCGTACCATCAGCCAGAACAAGACCAGGGGCCAGCTGTGGAACCAGACCATCACTTGCTCATCTGCAAGTTCATGATGAAGAAAATTAAAAACAAGTCCACAGGGAACCAAAGTAGGACCTTACATATATCTTACCTGAATTTAGGGTCTGTCTCTAAATTCAGTGCAGAGAACGCTGATGAGCGAACACTGAGCACTAAAGATCTAATGAGCTGTGGGACGACATCAGGAACATCATACATGAAGACCAGAAAGGCCATTAAAACAAGCAGGAAAAAGACTAGAGTGGATGTCAGAAGAGGCTCTGAAAACTTCCCCGTGGACATACAGGAGCAAAGGAATGGGAAGAAAAGATTAAGGGAGCTGAACAGGACATCTCAAAGTAGAATATGAACTGTGCAAACACCTGGAGTTAGAAGGCCGGAGTTCCTTATGTGGGCAAAACACTGGCTGGAGCCAGAGGCTCCGGAAGATGGAAGGAAAGCAGTCATCTTCAGTTACTTCAAGAGGTAGAGCATGGCGTTGGAGGGAGACCTCCAAGCTGCACTAAAGGGACTGGCGAAAAACACGGTTCCCGAAATGGATGGGTGATCTAGTGCGATGTTCCAACAAACAGATGCAGCGCCGGACGCTCACATCTGAATGACAGCTCCTTATCGGACTGACTGGAAGAGATCGTGTGTGTGCCCATTTCAAAGAAAGGCGGTTATCTGGACAGCCAGAAGGAACAAATCTGTCTTTAAAGAAGTACAGCCAGAGTGCCCCTTCGAAGAAGGCTGGCAAGACTTCACTGCACAAACTTTGGGTATGTTCTCGGGAGGGACCAGTCCCTGGAGAAGAGTGTCATACTGGGTAAAGTCGAGGGTCCATGGGGAAGAAGATGACCCTCGACGAGGTGGGTTGGCACTGGCTGCAACACCGTGAGGCTGGCACAGGCCTGGGTGCTGATTTGTTCTGTCATCCACGAGGCCACCGCTGTGAGTCGGGGCTGACTGGATGGTACCTCACAAGGATGACCATATGAGGAAGCAGAAGCGAGGAGCCCCTGTGTCTGCCACCACCCTGCCCAGGAAACCCGAGGTTCCTGCAGCTGGACGAGCCGGCATCAGCCTCGCACTGAGGCTTCGAGAGTGGACTCAAATCAAATTAGAGTTGGCGGGGAGGGCGGGGGAACTGTGCTTGATGGGCGGGCTAATGAAGTTTCCTGGAAGGGAGCCGCTGCCGGTCAGGGAGGGGTGTGGTAGAACCCGATCTGCTCAGGGGACATCACGTGCCGTCTGTGGACTCTACCTGGACCACTGCACAGCCTGGCTTGCAGGACCAGGGTCTCTGGAGCCGAGCAGCTTGGACCTGGGCTGGCGACTGCACTGGGTCCTACACACTTGGCTCCATCTGCTGAGGACAGGGCATATGAGGCCTCAGAGGGGCCGAAACACGAGCTGGGCTGGCTCTGGGCTGTGGCAGGGGCCCAACTGGAAAAACCAGTTCCCCAAAAGAAGCTGGACATCTCATGAGCCAAGTACGTGGGAGGCCACTGACCCTGGTGACCTGTGACACCAGACCCCAGGATGCAAGAGCGGGCTGGCCAGCCTGACTACAGGAGCCCAGAGAGAATACCTGTGGACTGAGGAGGTTGCTGGGACCACCACAGAACACGTGGGGCACGGCTGCAGGAGGGTCCGTGTGGGTCTGGACCCGCCTCCTGGCCTCTGTGGTCCTCCTTGGGAGGCTGATGCACTGAGCTCAGCGCCACCCTTGTTCACAGTGCCAGGGAGGACCCGGAGCCAAGTTCTGTGCCAGGCAGGCGCCAGCCACGACATCCAAGGGCTTCCTAACCAGATGACGTGCCGCCTGATCTGGTTCGTGCCAGCCCCAAGCTCCAGCTCCTTCCTCTCGGCCCCTTTAGCTGTCGCCCTGGCCCCACCGCCCTCACCCCGCTCCAGCTCCGGTTTCAGTCAGGTTCTTCATATGGGCCATGGAGGCCAGCTGTGTCCCCACATCTCGCCCGTGGCAGCTCAGCCTGCTCTTCTTCAACTTGGGGACAGGGCACATGGGTCTGGGATGCCTCCTATAGGAGAGCCAGGCTGGGAGGGCTGGGGCAGCACCGGGTGGATCCCGTGCCCCAGTCTCAGCCCTCACTGCCACTAGTGCCCTGGTCAGAGGGATGCTTGTGTGGCAGTGGCCACGAGCTGCCCATGTTTGCACATCCCGGCTGGGGACACCTGCTGACACCCACCCACAGTGCTGTCCTCCCACAACCCCAGAAAACAAGGCGATGGTCTGGGCTCTGGTTTAATGGGCTCTGAGCGTAGGCTGGCCTCCTGGCCACGAGGCTCTTGACAGGTTGGGACAGACAGACGAGAGCTAAGGATGGAGGGCCCAGGCTCCTCCCTCATCAGAAGCAGAGGTGTAGGGGCCTGGGCCTGTCTGAGGGAGCAGGCTGGGTGAAGAGCTCTACGTGAACTTGTTGGGGGGCGGGGGGGGGGGGCCTCCCTCCGACAGGCCCTCAGGTCCTCGTGTTTACAGATGGGCAGCGCTCATGTATGGCAGGACCTATCCCAGGTTGCCGGAGTCCCAGGTGGTGCTGGGGGAGCAGGGCTTGGCCTTGAGCTGAGGTTTCAGGGGTCTACCCCCACCATGCCTGGGTCTGCAGTGCAGCGTGTTAGGAAGGCGGGGTATCAAGGCTCAGAGTTGGGCCAGACCTTTGGGTTCCTGCTGTGGAGGCTTGGAGGCAGAAAACCCTTGTCCCACAGTTGTGCCAGGACCATCCACCATCTGCTTGGGCCGGGCAGAGAGCTGGCTAGCTGCCCAGTCCCGGGGGAGGGCTGGGTGGCCGGCCTGATGGGTGATGTGGGGTTGGGGGAGGGGCCTGGCCCAGGACCAGGGCCAGGGTCACGGGCCAGCTGGCGGTGGCCTGCCTTGGCGGTGTACACACCTTGTCAAACTTCTTGTGGCTGTAGACCTTGTTCTTGTTCATGAACGTGAGCAGGATCCAGTCGCACAGGAAAGAGCCCTGGGCCAGCAGAGACGTTGCTCAGGGCCTGGCCGGCCCCCACCCACCCTTCCCCAGGGGTCCTTACCACCCCGATGGACGTCAGCGCTGTGGCCAGGTTGATGATGGTGGGGATCAGGCTGAACTTCCCTGCCTAGGAGAATAGGCTGTGAGCACCCTACCCTGTCCCAGCCTGCCAGTTTTCAGCCCATGCAATCAGAGCAGAAGGCGGGCTGTGAGGGGGTGGAGTCAATGGAGGGATGGGGTGCAAGGGGCCGGTCAGTGCGTCGGAGAGAGGCCCTGCCCACCTGTCCGTGCACAATGACGTCAATTCTGATCCCATAGGCCTTGATGAGTGTGCGGGAGGTGGTGCCATTCACACTGTAATACTTGGCAAACCTGTTGGGCAAATGGAGAGAAGTCAGGGATGGCCCCCTGCCCGCCCACCCTACCTGTGGGGAGTGCAGTGGGGCCGTGTGGCAGATGGGCAGCCGGCGAGCCTCCTGGGAGGCGCCAGGTATGAGGGTCGGGCCGAGCCTCTGAGGCTGAGCACACCTGAAGTTGTAGCCGGAGGAGGCGGGCACATGCTTGGGGTCGAGCCGCCGGAAGGAGTACTTGGGGTTGCACTTGGATGCCGATAGGTCCAGGTCACAGTCCCAGTTGATGATGACCCCGATGACCCCACCCTGCAGAGGAGAGACCCTGCTCTAAGTTTAGGGTGGATTCTGATGGGACGCTGGTGAGTGGCTGGGAACAGCCAGGTGTCAATAATTCAGCAGATGCTACCCACACCCAGTGGCTCAAGCCGATTGTGTTTCCTCTGCCTACTCGGGGCTGGAAGGGCCCCTGCTCCCCCACCCGAGCCTGTCCTCCCCAGCAGCCCACTGGCCTTGTGGGCCAACTCTGTGAAGTTCTCTCCCGCTGCCTGCACGATGAAACCCAGCTTGAAGATGGGGCAGTAAAGGTCGGAAAGCTCGTCAAAGGTACAGTGCTTCAGGTAGTTGTCCTTCCTGCTGGCGATGTTGCCCCTGAGCGAGGGGAGCAGGCAGGGGTCAGGAGCCGAGAGGATGCCCAAGCCCCTCCCTACATGTGCTCCCAGCAGGCGCCCCATCCAGTCTTACTTGGAGAACCGGAACTTGGGGTAGTGGATGCTGTTCTTGATGAGGATGGTGAAGTTGGGGGCCATCTTCCCCAGAAACTGGCTGAGGGCACAGACAGGCTCTGTTCACTCTCCTTGGGTCCCAAGTGTCGTCCCCCATCCCCACCCCCACCTGCGGTGGGCCACTCCTGTCTCGGGACAGTTGCAGGTTGGGGTTGTCCACACACCTGACCGACGCTCCGTCCTCCACCGGGCACCAGGCAGACACTTCGCATGTCTTTGAGGGTCCATAGTAATAGGGCACACAGCGCCCGGTGTGCATCCCTGCAGCAAACACACCAAGTGACCACAGGCCACCCCCACTGTCCCTGCCCTGCCCCCAGTGGCTCCCACAGACCATTTCCCAGCATGTCCAGCTCCCCAACCGTGCAGTCCTTGTCCGAGTCACAGGTGGCGTTGCTTACTCTGATGCTCTGCGGGAGAGGGGCTGGTTTGGCCTCGGGTGGACAGGCCCCCCACCCCTAGGGTTACCCCTGCAGGCTTCATCCTCACCTCGGGGCAGGTTCCAAGGGTCTGGGAAGAGGTGACCTCAATCCTCGTGATGATGCTGAACACACTGCCTCCCTGCTCGGAGAGGGGAGGAGGCCACAGTACTCACCACCCCTTCTGGGCCACCTGGGTCTGCCAGGGGTGGGGGAGGGAGTTTAGGTCAGGGAGAGCCGCACCTCCGGGGGCTTCACGTACTCCTCCACGTCCCACACTTTGTGCTCGGATACACTGATGCCCTTGACCTTGGTGATGACGGAGCTCTCGGGACCGGTCTCCCTGTCCTGGTAGCTCTTCTGCACAATGAACACGTACCTGTGGGAATGGGGACAGGTGACACACGGGGAGCAGGGCCCAAGCGTTCTGCCCTAGGAGCCCCCCCCCCAAAAAAAATCTCTGGGGATGCTGCCCACCCGAGCCCACGGCCCCCTGCCCCCTCCTCGTACCACACGAAGTAGAGCAGGATGAGGAGCTGCACCGCTCGGTACACGACACCCAGGGGCCGGTCCTTCACCACCACCACCTTGGGCGTCTCGTAGTCCCAGAACGCCGACCAGCAGCCCCGAGCCAGGCGCTGTGCTGCACTGGTCCCGGGGGGCTTGGGCTCCACCGCAGCCATGGCCGGACCCCTGCCAGCCCGAGCTCGCCCTGCGCCCCGCTGCCCGTGCAGCTCCGCCCCAGCTACCCCCCCGTCCCGCCCTGGCTCCAGCCTTACTGGCCCAGGCAGGTGGCTCAGGTGTGCTGCTCCAGTGCCAGCTCCGCTGGGTGAGGGTAGAAATAGGTCTCTGCCGCCCCGGCAGAGAGCAGCTGCCACGGGAGTGAGGACTTGGTTTGCAAGCCTGGTGAGCCGAAACTAGCAGACGGCCCCCTGGCGTCTCCGTGTGGACACAGCACCGCCCTGTAAAACCCAAGTGGACCCCAAGTCCAGCCAGCAAAGGCTCCATGGCCACCCAGTGGCTCTGCACAGACATTGCGAGTGCTGCCTTGTCCGAGTGCCCTGTGGGGGGGTGTCCCTACCAACCCACCTGCATCAGGCTTCCACCCATTTCTAAGCTTCCCTTAGAAACCAAAGTGGTGGTACTTTCTCAAGTGGCAGTTTTTATGTTCCCTCTCCCCTATTTTTTCCCCCCAGCAAATCCCAGTGAGGTACTGGTACTGGCTGGGCAGAGGACTGTGGGCAAGGCCTCAGCCCAGACCCTCCACACCCCCTACCCCAGTCAGTGACATTCCTCTGATGATTCTGAGAGGCCCCACGGGCCGCAGCATGTCCCCTGTAAGGACACGGTGGGGTGGGGGGCAGCTTGCAACCATATCTGAGTGTCCACATGGAACAGGACCCACCCTGGTCTTGGCCCAGGTTCAGGGAGTCCTCAGCCCACCCTGGACATCCCAGTGGGACCAAAGGGCCACCACAGGACATGAGCCAAGGGGGGCCTGCTGCTGGCAGGAGAGGGGCTGTCACGTTTGTTCACTGCGCCTACAGATCAAGGTGATTCAGGAGCTGCCGCTGGCCATGCAGCTGTGGGTAGGGGTCAGGCTCACCTGTAAGGGTGACCTCTCCTCTGCCATCCATCACCTGTTGGTCTCCCTGCCCTCTCCAGAAGAGTGGCCAGGGCCCCTTGCCAAGTCTTCCCTCCCCTCAGCCTCCTCAGATCTCCCACAGAAACATCTCATTTCACGCACCAAGAGTCAAGGGAGTGCAGGTGAAGGGACTCGTTTGTGGACACATGTCCTGTCTTCAGCACCATGTTCTTCTTGGCAGATTGAGTACTGTGGAAGCAAACTGGAAATTGATGTTTGGGGAGGAACGACTCCACCAGCAGCACCTGACACGGTCCCAAAACAGACCATTGCTGCCAAGTGGGTTTTCACGTAGCTGGAAGGATTCAGTAGACCTGTCCATGGGGCTTCCAAGGCCAGATTATTTTTGCAGTAATTTTAATAGTACTTTATCCACATGTCACACAGTTTAGTCATCAAGGAGAGGTTGTGCATTTGTCACCATGTTCAGTTCTTGAATATTTTCCTCTGTACTCATCGTTATCCGTGTAATGTTTGTGTTAATTATGGCAAAAATATACACCACAAAATATTCTCCAATGCCAGAACTTTCTACGTGTATAATTCAGTGCCATTGATTATATGCCCATTGCGTTGTACAACCATTATCAATATCCTTTTCCATATTACTCCACCACCATTGCCATAAACTTAGTACCCTCTAACTGACCACAAGGCTATCATCTATGGAAACACTGCTTCATCTTTCTCCAGTGGGGCAGCGGGTGGGTCCAAACCACCAACCTTCAGGTTACCCACCAAGCACATACCTGCAGTGTCAGCAGGCCTCTGGCACACTGTAGATGCTAACACAGGACTAGAAACGCACAGCGGTGTGTGCAGGTGGAACAGCCCAGGAGAGCACGTGGAAACTCCTTGTTCTGGGGGATGGGGCAGTGGCCCAACTCCATCGCTGCCTTTGGCACAGATTTAGGGGCCTGGGACCGAGGGAATTTTACAGTAAAAAAGGGGAGGCTTCAGGTGTGCCCTGCTGGAGCCTGGGGGCACGGGGATGCGTGCTTCTTGGGTGCTTTGCAGGGACACTGTGTTTAGCTTTCTCTGGGGGTCCTGAGCTGGAAGAAGGAACACAGCTTAAGGAAATTGGCAGCTGTGAACCAGTTCAGGCCATTGTGGCGTGGGCTGTTCGTACACTCTGCCCTTGAGGGGACGATCAAAGCCTTTCTCACGGAGGGGAGGGGGAGCGGAAGCAGGTTCAAGGGGAGGGCCGGGATTCACCTCACTGCCTCTGTTCCTGGGGGCATTTGGTGAGCGTCGGAGAGCAGCAGCCTTGCCAGCGGGTCTCACTTCTACCTCAGACGAGCAGGTGGGACCTGGGACAAATAGGTAGGCCTGCTGGAGACTTCACACAGTTATTAACCGCTGGACTGACTCTCAGGACAGGAAACGCCTGAGGAAGCCATCGCCTGTGTCTGCGTGTTTTGTTTTTTCTGATGTGTAGCTAGCAGGAAGCCCTGGGGACCATCCTACCTGGGTTGGACCTGAGGCCAGCTTCTTGCCCACTGGGGGTGTTGGTAGTGTTGGGACCAGGAGGTGGAACCCCACCTTCGCGTGCTGCTGTGAAGGTGATGAGAACCACAGGGTGGGTATGGCCGACCCGAGGTGTGTTGCCCCAAAGGAGGTAGCCAGGGTTAAGGGCGCTTGTGAGGGCGTTCAGCTGCTCATCCGGAGGCAGGAGGTTAGTCTCCCAGAGGCACCTGGGAAAGGCGTCTGAAGAAAACAGCTGTTGAGAGCCCTCCAGAGTGGTCTTGCTCCCACAACGTGGGCACGCCCGGAGACCACGTGGACTTGCTGACGGATTGTGTTTGGTCGTGTGCGCACTGACCGGTTTCCATAGCGGTTTTTTTGAGGGGAAGTTTAAAAAGGGGTGATGGCGTCATGGTCTGCTCAGCAGCGTTGTCTGTCTCCGAGTCTCCCATACATCGCAGGGAAAAGGCAGCACGGGTGCCTTGTTGTGTGAGCTCTTCTTCATAGGGCAGCTCAAACCTCCCCGCACAGGAAAGGCCAAGCGTGGCCGGGCTATGCCTGGTGATGGACGGGTTTTGCTAAGACTGGCGATGTGGAGCGGCTGTGTCTTTGCTGTGCTGTGAGTGGCGTCAGTAGCGGAGGCAGTCCAGTCACACTGGCAGCAGGGCGCCCTGCTTGCATGTCTTGGGGGCTTAACATGAACCTTGGCTACAGGTAGACCTCGGAGGTATTTCAGGTCCTCTTCCTGACATCCCTACTGCAGCGAATATTGCAGTAAGGTGAGGCGCACAGTTTTTTGTTCCCCAGTGCTTACAAAACAGACTTGCCTACTGTGGTCCATGGCGTGTGCAGCAGCTCGGTGAGAGGCATAGAGGTATCGAGAGAAGGACCACAAAGAGGACCCTGAGCCGCCTGTGAGCAGGTGCTGCTGCACCATGGTGCCGAGCAGCCTGCTGGATGGGGGTTCTCACAGCCTTCCATCTGTGGCGGACACAGACGGCCAAGGTGTGGCTGGACGTAGGCTGAGGGCTTGGAGGAGACCCCACTTCCTGTGTGCAGCCCACTTCTGGAGTTTGGGGGAACCTTGGAGCAAAGAGTCATGCTCCAAGCATTGAGTCACCCAGATCCCTTCTGCCATCAACGCGCGCCCCCCCACCCCCACCTGCCAAGTGGTTCATTACTGACCTTATGATGCTCCCTACCCAGCCACCCAGCCCCACACTTCTGAGATGCTCCCATATGCACTTTCCCTCCAAACTTCGAGCGTCACCTCCCTCTCCCACCTGAGGGGTGGCATGCAGGCACGGCTGGAGAAGTGGGGGGCAGAGTCAGCTCCCATGGCCAGGACTCACCCTTGTGGAAGCTCAGGGAGGGGGTTGTCCTGAGCTGGTGCTCCTGCATGGGAACTTAAATTGCAAAACCCAAGGCTGTCTGGCAGCGGGGCCTCAAGCACTGCCATGGGATTCCAGAGGCTGTACATCTTCATAAGAGCAGACGGTCTCTCTTCGGAGGAGTGGCTGGTGGTTTTGAACATGACCTTGGGGTCAGCAGCCCACTAGGCCACCAGGGTTCCTGCAACCCAGGGGCAGAACGAGTGAGACACCCTGGACATGCTCGAGTCTCAGGTCGAGAGAGGCCCCAGGACTCCTTGTCACAGAGGTGAGGAAGCTGTGGCCTGGCGGGTGCAGAGACGTCCTCAGGCAGCTCACGGCCCGCGGGAAGCAGTCCTGGAAGTCCCAGTGACTGGGTGAAGGGAGGTGCCACCGCCACCCGCCAGAGGGCGTCGGGCGGCTGCAGACGGGCTGGGCAGGCGCAGAGCTAACTGGGAGAGAGCCCTGTGTGTGGGTTTTCAGTAAACACGTGGGCACGGAATTGGGCAGTGGTTAGGTGCCCTTGGCCCTGTGTGCAACAGAAAGCAGCTCTGCTCAGTCCGGAGGCAGCCTCAGTTTTTCCTGTTGAAGCCACTGTGTCCACCTAGCTCCCCTTCTTTTTTGCTGCCCTTCCATTTTACCAAACATGTCTTTCTACAGGCATTGGTCTCCTGACATCATGTCAAAGTATGTAAGACAGGGTCTCGCCATCCTTACCTGTAAGGAGCACTCTGGCCGTACCTCTTCCAAGAGACATTGGTTTGCCCTTTTAGGAATTCTTTTTTTTTTTTTTTTAATCGATCGTTTTATTAGGGGCTCACACAACTCTTATCACAATCCATACATACATCAATTGCGTAAAGCACATTGGTACATTCATTGCCCTCATCATTCTCAAAACATTTGCTCTCCACGTAAGCCCCTGGCATCAGCTCCCCAGTTTCCCCTCCCCCATGAACACTTGATAATCTATAAATTATTATTTTGTCATATCTTGCCCTGTCCAACATCTCCCCTCACCCACTCTTCTGTTGCCCGTCCCCCAGGGAGGAGGTCACATGTAGATCCTTGTAATCGGTTCCCCCTTTCCAACCCACCCTCCCTCCACCCTCCCAGTATTGCAACACAGCACTGGTCCTGACGGGATCATCCACCCTGGATTCTCTGTTTCCAGTTCCTATCTGTACCAGTGTACATCCTCTGGTCTAGCCATATTTGTAAGGTAGGATTGGGATCATGACAGTGGGGGAGGAGGAAGCATTTAGGAATTAGTTGTATGTTTCATCGCTGCTACATCGCACCCTGACTGGCTTGTCTCCTCCCTGAGACCCTTCTGTAAGGGGTTGTCCAGTGGCCTACACATGGGCTTTGGGTCCCCACTCCGCACTCCCCACCTCATTCACTATGAGATGATTTTTTGTTCTGATGATGTCTGATACCTGATCCCTT